GAATATCACAATCCCAAGCCGAACAGGCATGGCCTACTGGAACCTACCCTGCACTGATTCCTGGCCTACCCTGTCAGCCCTAGTACATGTCACAAACAACCTATCCCAGCAACTCCTCTTCAGCTGAACCTGCTCTACTGCACAATAGCTGAGCAACTGACCCTGCCCATTGGACAAGGAGGTGAAAGGTATCATGCCCATAGACGAGCAAACAAAGAACACACAGCCCGCCTTCTCAGACATAACCAAATAAAACAAAAAACAGGAAAAAACAAACAAATCTACAATCAATAAATGAGGAAAATAACTACTGAATTTCCCAAAGACAGCAGACAGTACCAAAGCATATTGAAAAACAAGACAGGATGGTTCAAGTAAGCATCCAAAATAAAACACCAGATGATTTTCCAGTAGAAAAAAGGCAATAGAACTACCTGATAGACGATTCAAATCTCAAATATTCAGAACTATCCAACAGTTGAAGCAAGAAGCAGACAAAAATGAGGAAAAAATAGACAAATTCATGCAAAAGGCAGACAACTTCATGGAAAATACAGATCGAAAAAAGGAAGAATTCAGGAAAATAATACAGGAACAAAATGCCAAAATGAATTCACAACTAGAAATCATACAAAAACAATAATCAGAAATCCAAAGGATAAACAACAAGATTTCAGTAATGGATAGTGTCATAGAAGGGCTGAGGACAGGTTTGAAACGATGGAAGACAGGATCAGCAAAATTGAGGACAATCACTTGGATGCAACTCTATTTGAGGAAAAATCAGAAAAAAGAACAAAGAAAAATGAAGAAACCCTGAAAATTATGTGGGATACAGTCAAAAGAAAAATCTGAGAGTAATCAGAGTTCCAGAACAATGGGAGAAAACGGAAAACACAGAGAGGATTATTGAAAAACTGTTGACAGAAAACTTTCCCAATATCATGAAAGATGAAAAGCTGACCATCCAAGAAGCTCAACGAACCACATATAGGATACACCCCAAAGGAAAATCACCAAGGCATGTCATAATCACAC